GGAGAAGGCAGGAAACATGGGGCAACAATACCCATGGCCTCAAAAGCAAACCTAATCCTCAATTTAATTATAAACCTAACGCTAAGCCTAATGCTAAACCTACCACAAACCCTAGACCTAGTCCTAAGCCTAACCTTAACCCTGGACCAAATCCTAAACTTTGCCTTTCCCCTAAACTTTAACATAACCTTGGACTTAAACTAACCCTAACACCAACCTTAGCGCCAACCTACACGGCAATCCAAACCCCAACTCTAACTGAAACCCTTAAACGCAGCACAAAACTTAACCTTAAATTCAATTCTCAGTCTGACACAAACCCAAACCCTAAAATTAACCGTAACTTTAAACCGAAACATCAGATTGCTTTTTTCCGTTTTAGCGTTGGCTACTTTTCCACCCACGATTTCAGCATCCCTCTTCGCCTTACTTTACTTTCAATGAACACATTGTGCACACACTTGGAACCAGAACAGCGTAACCGATCATTGTCTGTCCCCTGACACGCAGAGTAGTCAACATTGATGTCCTTCACTCTTCGGTTTGGGTCGGTGACCTTGTTTGATCTCTAGCACAGTCAGACGCTTTGCCGTCGTGTTGATCCCCCAAGTTCTCTCTAGATCCCAGGCTTCATCATATTTGTCTGGTGGGGACCGCCTCTCTCTCTCGCTTAGCCTTCGGTGCAGAGCGCATATCGATCGCCTGCAAGCGAGCACTTCTCACGATTCCTTCCACTTTTGTCCAATCAGCGAGATGCGCTATGCACAGCACTCTGTCGCACAAATAACCCGGATGTCACAGCCAGTCGGAAAAGATTGTGTTTTTGATTGCCAAGGCCTAACTTCTCCCACCTTATGCGCTATCGCAGTGCAGACAGTTATTGATGAATCTCGTTGTTTTGTATGCCGGAGCAAATCGCCTTTTGCTGTTGACAGCGCAAAACAGTAGAAGTATTCACTTCCACCAAATTCAGTGTGCACACCTTAGTCAGCAGCTGGCAAGCGCCTAGAGAAAATCTTCTGGCAAATGCTAGGTCAGAAGATGGTCAGCCGCTAATTACTCAATTCAGAATTCAGGTAAATACTTAAGGATTAGGATCCATGCAAAAGATATGCATACGTTTCATGAAAGTTGGTTGATTGAGACTCAGAAATTTGGAATTGCAATTAACATGACGAAACCCTTTGATAACTGATAGAATTCTGTGCACTTAAGGATTTTTCTTGTGATTGTATCGACACCGGGGTAGATATCTTACAAAAAACATTTTCAGCTTTTTCAATACGCTTCATTTTTGTTTAAAATAGCGTAACACCACAGAAGCAAACTTAGTCGATTCTCCAAGACCAAATGTTTCTTAATGCATCTAAAACCCTCGTGAACGTTTGCAGCCCCCAGTCAACGGCCCCAGCATGCGATTTCTCAAAGTGAGCACTTCGGTTTGTCCACCAGAAGGAATTGACGGTGCTGACCCCAAACACAACCACGACCTCGTCGTCATTGTGAAATCAGCCGTCTACAACTTTGATGACAGACAAGCCTTTCGCAGATTCTACGCCCACCTGAGAAAGGAGAGCAGCGTTAAACCACCCTATCGCATAGGAGTAGTGTTCGTGGTGGGCCTGCCCACAAGCGCAAGCAGCAATTCATTCCAACGCGATGGTTTCAACATCTCACTGCCCGGTCGCGCCGGCAACTCGCTCGTCAACATTGCAAACCGCCGCGCCCATATTCAAATGCGACTGGAGCAGGAGATGCGTGAACAGGATGATCTCATTGTGGGCGACTTCGAGGACACCTACTTCAATCTGTCTCTGAAGATGCATCACACGTTCGTGTGGGCGGCCAGGTTCTGTCGCGAACGTCCTGCCTTCATGTTCCTCGACGACGACATTGGTTTCAATGAGAAGCGCCTGCAGGCTGTACTGGCCACTCTGCCGGTGGATTGGCGACGCAATGTTTCCATTTCGAGTACCCGCTGGAATAGTCCCACAGTGCGTCCCACGGACACTCCGGCCGTCCGAAAATGGGCCCTGTCGAAGCGGGAGGTTCCGTGGCCAGTGCATGCGCCCTACAGCAATGGATACTTCTACATGCTTGGTTACGATCACGTGGCGGATCTGGCTTTGGCCATGTTCTACACCAAGCGCATTCCCATTGACGATGCGTGGTTGGGTCTGGTGATGCATAGGATTGGTCTTCATTTCGAGTTGCCAGCTGGGATCGTGTACTCGTTGAAACATCAGGAAAATGTCACTGGTTATATCGCCTTGCCCCTCCAATCTCTCCGCAGCATATCTGTATGGTGAGAGGAAAATTTGTATTCACGACAGCCACTGTATTTTCTTCAATTTTCACTCATCCGTCACATGCATGCCAGGGATTTTATTAGTAATTTGCCCTATCGTATGACTATTTACTGCGAATTGTTTGAACTTTCCTTTGTTATTTTGACCTTCATCCGAGTTAATTCCGCTTCTTTCTGACTTGCATATGCTTCATTACAAGAACGAAATCGGCTGAGCCGGTCGCTGCATTAGGGGTGTGATCACGTGTGGCGACCGTGTTTGGGGTGGTGGTGGTGCCCGTTGTGGTGCCCGTGATGGTCAATGCAGTGAGGATTGGTGCAGGAATGACGATGGAAGCGTTTTTGAAAGCAGAAAATGGAGTTGTCGTTTTCTTGCTCCATTGGGTCCGAAGATATCCGAGGAGGCGGATCCGTACGCCCGTAGGTTCGTCCACATCGTGGGCAGGCTGGTCGGGGGGGGGGTTATGTTGGGTGCGCTTGAGACTTGTTGTTAGTCCTTATGTCCTTGGCAGCGCTGATTCGGTTGGCTTCGTAGACTGCTCCTTCAGGCTTTTCTGTTCTTCCCCTGTAAGCCACTTTGTGGTCGATTTTGGTGTTGCGCGATACTGATGAGAGGGCCGCTGGTGCATGGCAACTGTTCATCCCGAATTTTGAGCAGCCGGATTTGAGGACACTCTTGTACCATTGCATACCCGTCTCTGTCGCGGTGTTGAACGTGAAGTCGTCTGTGAAGAGCAGATGGTGGGCAGTAGTCGTGGAGAGAGTGAGAGGCTGGCCGTCGGTCCTGTGAACGATCCGGACTTCAGGGCTCCCGTCATTATAGGCGTCTATAGCCATGACATATCAGATGAGACTGAAAAGGATGGGAAGAAGGACTCAGTCCTGCTTCATTTCATCGGTCATTGCGGATGCTTCTGAAACGGCTCCATTGCACGTAACGCGCGCCATCAAAGTCCCAACGGTCCGAGGCATCATATACGGGAATCGCTCCGGACGGTCAAATTTCTGCATGATTTTCCGGAGACCATCGAGATTCACTGTGTCTGATGCTTTCGTCAAAGCCCTCGAGGTGATGCCGATTTGGTTCCGCATTTCCTAACAATCCACCTATGATTACCGGGCGGGTAATTTCATACCGATTGTTTCGCGATATCGTCTGAAGACACGCTGGTTTTCGGGTAGATGTCGGTGTCCCGACTAGCCGCTGAGACCACTGACAATGGTGTGGGCGAAGATTTTCTCCGCGATGTTGAGCAACAGGATGCCTTTGCGGTCATCATAGAGCTGACCGTTCCACTTTCCTTTATATAGATGAACGACGTTCGCGTCACTGAACTCCTTGCTCACTTGTTCTTGACGCCACATCTTTCGGAGAAGCGTTATAAGTTTACTTATCGTGCGGGGCAGCCAGTCTTATAAACTGCAGCCGAGATCGTGAAGGATTTCGGTGCTTTCCCAAGTAAGATTGTTTCTGGCTGTGTCTAGGGTGTCGACTGTTTCCCATGGGGGTGTCGGTCGATGACGGCCACGGAGATCCTGGATGGGCGGTTGAGGACACTGCTGAAGTGCTTGGTCTAACACCTCAGAGCTTGCAAATTCCCCGTCGGGAGTGCCTTTCCGTCGGAGTTGAGAAGCGGCGCCATTCTTGTTGACCGCAGACCGCCTTGATTGATGCGAAGACGATCTCTGTTTTATTGCCGTCAGCGTACTCTTGGATTTCCTTGACTTTGCAATCCATTGGGGCATCAGGCCTCTCGCACTGCACAAGGCGGTGACATCGGAATAAGGCCACCTCTTGCGTCTGTATGGCAGTTTGTTCTTCTGTACGAGTAAGCTGTTGACGTCTATGTCGTTTTTGTCAAAGCATTCCTAATATTGACGACGTGCGCGACCGACAACAACCAAGACAGTGAAGTGGACAACGTTCCGCAGTTGATACCACCATGTCTTTGCAGTGGTTTTTTGCGAGGTTACTGTTGGACCTACGAAAATGCCCATTGTAAAACTCAAAAGGCAATTTGGCGAGCGTACGTCTGCTTTCGATATATTATCTTCAGGCTTGTACATTTATATGGCTATTGAAGTAATGAATTAAAAGATACGGGCAAGTAGATAATTAAACTGTAGCTCGGGTTTGGAGAGGAGAGGGGAGGGGAGGCGAGAGTGAAACACCATAATTCCAGTCGGCGCCAGGGAGAAGGTGGGTCCCGGCGGGGGTAATTACATGCGGGTGGTTGGCTTGGCGGCTTTGACCTATGGTAACTGTGGGACCTGTACGAAGTTCTTGTGTGTGCATAGGACCGGTCAGCGTAGCCTGATTGCAGCCGCCTCTGCCGTAGCCAACAAGCGCTGCCCAAGCAGTTACGGATATCATGATGGGACCTTGTATATCACTCTGAAGGCCCCTCTGGCGTCTACACGGTGGTCTGTGTCTACCATATTGGAGCCTTATTTTTAAGATGGTGAGTCATTGATAACTGCAACCGTCGGCGTGGCAGATCGTTTTGGTCATCAGCAATTCCTGGAAGAGAACGTAGTCCAGCAGCTGCTAGCGTCGGGATGTTGGGTTTGCATCCAGGCTGCATCCTCCGTCGTTGAATAACAGAAAAATGTGTTGGATTGGAGGAGACAGTGTTTCGCGTAGGTCTGCAGAAGGAGGTCGTTGTCGTTGGAGCTCCCCCCCCCCTTCCCCTCAGGCAGCGTGGTCTGTCTCGACGGGGTCTCTGAAGTCAGCAAAGACACAGGAGGAGGAGGAGGAGGAGGAGGAGGAGGAGGAAAAGGACGAGGAGGACGAGGAGGAGGAGGAGGAGGAGGAGGAGGAGGACGAGGAGGACGAGGAGGAGGCCGTTTTCGTTGGAGTCGCCGAGTCCATGAGGATCAGGAACTCTACCCCATCCCCCTCCGCCCCTGAGTCAACGTGGTCTCTCTCGACGCGGGCATTGAAGTCAGCAAAGACAGTCAACTTGTCCACAGTCAGCACAGTCCACAGGAAGGCATGCAGGCCGTTGTAGAACTTCTTTCTCACCCGTTTGACGTTGCTCATTGGGCGAGTCTAGCCGGTAACGACAGCGGAGGATTTGGCTTCCCGAAAAGGCTGATGTCCTGGGAAAGAACATGGAGCCATCCCACGATTTCGATACAGACGAAAAAGGCGACACCAGCCTCACGTTGCTTTGGGAGACCACTCCAGAGGAAGGTGTATCCGTCACTCACCTACTTCTGTCAGTCTTGTTCGGAGAAGCAGGTCTGGCTGAGGTCAGCGATATCCAATTTGTTGCGCGTCACTTCTCGAGCAGCTTGTGCCCCCCTCCCTTTCTGGTCGGTTGTTCCGCGGATTTCACAAAGACAATCAACAACACGGGTTGTCAACTTGAGCGGGTCATTTTAGCAACCTGCGAGTTAGAATGGAGAGGATGGAAGCCGAGGACCGTTGTTTGTTTGGTTGTTCCGACTATGAGTAGTAGATATTTGTGAACCGCGGTCTTCGTGCAGATAACGTCTTCCCAGCATTTGTTAGCCTTGCTAATACTCTGGTGGCCTGTCAACCATGACTCAAGCAGCTCGCGGCTCACGCGGTTGTCACCTCTTGCGAGAATGTCGGCCTCGTCCAATTTGCATGTGTGGCCGGATCTCGTCGAAGGGACCGCAACTTGAGATGTAGCGTCATTTCTCCGCACCGCTGCAGCATGTTCGGCCATTCGCGATTGGAGTTGTCTTCCGGTTTCTCCGACGTAGTTGCTCCGTCCGCAACTGCACCAGATCCGATAAACGACTCCAGACTTTTCTTGCCGTGGCAGCGTGCCTTTCGATTACATTATCTGACGCCTGATGGTTGCCTCCGATCTGTGTGCAACTCCAACCCCAAGTGGTGCGAGAAGGCGGCCGACAGCTTCGAAAATGTTCTTGACATATGGAAGTGCTTGCCAAACTTTGGTGTCGGTGCCGTTAGGCCATTCGTCCCTTTTACGTATGCACCGGTCGATTAAGTTGCACGGGTAGCCATTGGCTCTGAATACCCGTCGGAGTTAATGTAGTTCGGCAATTTTGTCTTCAGGCTCAGTGCAGTGCGTTTTGACACGCCAATAGGTCGTTCTTACACAACTGCGTTTGTGGCTGATTGGGTGGTTACTTTTGAAGTTCAGTGCTTGCATCGTATTTGTCGCTTTCCTGAACAATTTGGTTTTTAGTTCACCACAATCTTTGCGGCATAGGAGGAAATCAGGGAAGGCCAGCTGGTTGTTTCCTTCTTACTCCACCGGTAATTGTATGTCCGGGAAGACCGCATTCAGATGTTCCTTAAATGTCAGCAGTTGATCCTGGTCGATAACGACGAAGGTATCATTCACATACGGGGTCCAGAACTTCGGTCTGTGGTGTTTGAAGACCAGCGACTCTAACCGTTGCAGGACCGCCTCGGCGATGAACCCCGAAATCGGCGAACCCATTGGTGTGCCCTTCACCTGTTCGTAGATTGTCCCGTCGAACGTGAAGTACGTCCTGAGACAGAACTTAAGGAGCTGAAGGACTTGGGCGCGTACAAGGCGAGTCTCTGTTTCGTCGTATTTGCTTTGTAGAAGCAGCTCGATTGTCTCGATCTTGAGAGCTGGCGTCATTTCTCAGCACCGTCCGCGTTTACGGCCATTCTTGTTAGGAGCATTCCTTCGGTTTCTCCGACGTGTTTGTTTTGTCCGCAATTACACCAGATCCGATAAACGACTCCAAAAGTTTTTTTCCCGTGGCAGCCGGCCCTTCGATTTCATTATCGGACGCCTAGTGGTTGCCTCCGGTAAGTGCGCAATTTTAAACCCAAGTAGCGAGAGAATGCGGCCGACAGCTTTCGAAAAGTTCTTTGACATGCAGAAGGGCTCGCCAAAATTTGGGGTCCGTGTGGTTTGACCTTACATGAGTCTTGGCTTGAGTCCTGGTTCACCGGCCTCCAGTCTATTAACAAGCGCACCAAACTTCCTCATCCATATTCGATCCTGATACCTAGCCTAAACGGAGTGATGAACCACCTGGAGAAGGCATAGGTAAACACTGCTCTCAACGCCAGGGTCGGTGGGTCAGATGGTTCAGCTGTCATCACACCAATATCCAACACCCCTGATGAAATGGCAGCAAACAACTACGCGAATATCGGCCATAGAACAGTCATCACACCAAGTGCAACGATTCATGATGAAGGGGAGGGGAGGACGTGAATATTCATAGGTATGCGGTAGCATGGCGACTGCATCCTATAAATACAGCTGGCCCTTGTGCATGAACCACCCGTATCTGCTATTGCCTCTGATGATGGGTTCGAGCAGGAATCCGAAACGTCAAGCTAATAAAACTCTTGTCCCAGTGATTGTGTCTCCTTCTTCACGACTGCATCTTAGGACTCGTCTCTTCGCCTCTACTGTCAATGCAGTGCCGTCTCTGATTAGAATTACTGAGAAGTCTCAGACGGCTGCCGAACTGTACTGTGGTTCACGCCTTGGCACAATGGGAGAGCGGCCTAAGATACCCTGGGCTATCTATGGGATTATATGTCGCCCTCTCCGCAGGGCTTTTTGAGACAAGGGTATGGCTTGTGCCCGGGTCAGCTACAGTTTAATCTGAGGAGCCTGTCTAACGGGAATGATGGTACTAGGGTTAAACGGGTGGGATATACGGGCACACGCAGGAGCAATTCGAAAAAATACAAGGCGAAGAAAAGTAGAACTACATCTAAAACCTACTAATGTGCTTGGAATGTAAGCAGTAAGTAGATGCAAAGATTCGAAAAACTACCCCAAAATGGTAGTCAAGAAAATTCGGGTAACTGAATAAACCGCCGCCAACTGACTAATGGAAGCTCAGGTTCCAAGGGAAATATCAACCAATGGTAATTGGTCGCAGGCGTTAATCTAAAGTGCAAACAAGGCAGATTGACAGCTAAACCGGGAAGCGCGATAAGTGTCAGAAATTGACGAAAAATGCAAAACGAATAACAAGAAGGAAGTATAACAAGGTAAGATAAATGGCAGTCGGAAGGAATAAAAAGAAAGGAAAAATCTGGCAATCTTAAGAGGCATGACTTCCGAACAGCTATATACGATAGGTGGGCTAACTCATTAAATGTCAACCGAAATTACAAGATGCATTTTCGTTTCGAAAAGATTAATAAAGTAGGGTTGTGACACTAATCATCATGCAGCTTACTTCTATAATAATTCAGGATGCTGGCTTTTAAACGAACTTCTTTCCAGCCACATAGAAAACTATACTCTGTTAAAAATGACTGCTTATTTAGCATGTATTTTTGTCATTGATTGTCGGTGACCTTGAAAATTAAATTATATTTCATTAAAAGCATGCATAACATATTCATTTCCTTACACATTCGGTAGAAAACGACGTCTTCATTAAATATCATTCTTTAAGGAAGGGTATAATTCGGTTTTAAAATAAACTTTTCCAATTCCCGTGTATTTTTTAACTCGACCTGCCGTTACACTTGCATTCAGGGTTTCAAAACTGCAAGCCGTATATTTCCCCTGTACGGAAAACCATGCATTTCTCTACGTATTTAAGAGAGACCTCATGGGGTTCATAAAAGTTAGCAGTGGATTAGAGCCACATTGTTAACTTTACCAGCCACATTGGTAAATGCACAGATTTGACGATTTCTGAAGGGCCATTTTACGGTATTTAGAAGTTCCACAATCAGAAACTTTTTCAAAACCGAATTATATCCCTACTTCCAGTATAAAATTGGAAGCAGATATCATTTTCTACCGAATTAGTAATAAAAGTCTGACTAACAAACAAGTTATTGGCATACTTTAAACTGTCACATAGGCTACGTTTGTGGAGGAGTTCCTTTCGACGCCTTTAAAACTTGAGGTATGAGGAAGAACTTATCCCTGCTCCAAAAAGACAACACATATCAAAAAATTCATTTAGCTGCCTTCCAAGGTAGCTAGAACACAACTCGACACTCGATATTTTAGGAAGATGGATGATAGTATTATTTGCAGGAATCCGAAGCAGACAAGTATTTTTGGGAAAGTGTGGTGAACTATTTTTCCTCTCGGATCTGATTGTCAAAGCGCACGTAGAAGTGAAGTAAATGTTTGGAAGGCCTACTAGGAGAGACTGACCTGATCAAGAGAACAGAGGTCCATTTTGAACATGAAGAAAGATGAAGCGGGTAATTAAAATGTGACTGAGAGGAACGCTTGTCGGATATTGAGGGAACAAGGTCGGCAAAGCCCAAAAGTGTAAGGGAGGCGAAAGGTGACACAGTCAAAATCGCCGCATAAGAGTAGAAGTTGCTCTCAAGACAATAAAACAGTTTTTTTCGAAAGAAAGTCATATACCCTAGTTGCGTCACCTTCACGGGTGGAGAGCGAGTATGTGTTAACAAATATGCTGTATTTAAAGACTATTGAACAAACAGACCTGGCATGTTACAGCAAGAAAATTTATCGATTCATCAAAGTATGAAAACAGGAGCTTGTAGCTTCGCACCAGGGTTGTATGCTGAAAATATCCAGCGCTTTTCTTAAATGTTTTGACATTTCTTGATGGAAACGTGAAAGTGGTAGCAGGGAAGGATAATAAATACGGCCTATTAGCCACAAAGTGCAACGGTTAGCATCGCGGACAGTCGTCTGTGAATCGGTACGGAATTCGCGCAAGCTTTTAGCCCTTTAAAATGTTGCCAACCCCCTGCACAGCTGACTACTTGACTGTAATTCAGGTAAATAAACCTACGGAAAATATCAGTATATTTCGAGTTAGACGTGCAGATAGGAAGCCCCCCATCTGAATGGGGAGCATAATTAAGTGCGGCATAAATTCAAAAGCCCACCGATTTCCGATCATTGCGTCCGAATCAACCTCGGGTCGTCCTAACCGTGTAACTCCAAGAGGTGGGTGAAGGAGGAGTTAGAGTGACGGGTGCTGCGTAAATCGCTGTTCTGCGGCCTCCGCACCGTGGGACACACGGTGGGCATCGCCGTTGACATTCGCCGAACTGACAGGTCTATTTAAACACCGCACGCCATTCGGTTGCAGTCGACTGATGCTCGGGTTAGTCATCTCAACTCGGACATCCTCCAGCGACTAATCATTTGCAGAAAATGGGGCTTCCACTTGAAGACATCAGATCACATCAGATTTATTAAGGGAATGTAGGCCTTTGAAGTCCCTTTTTTCGAGGGTGGTACGATCCTTGACAGTCCAGAGTCTCCAGGCCTGAGTGGCAAATTCCAACTGTGGACGCACAACCATCCCAAAGACCTTGCGAGAGCACTATGTTTCGATCTTCGTAAATGCCCGCTTGATGAAATATAAGCTGGAAATTGCGGATTTCGCTGATTTCAAGCAGTGGAATGATGGCTTTAGTGAAGATGTTATCCAAACACCTCGATCCTTCTGAACCTCTACCACTGGCAGCGGTGTGTGATTTAGATAGTGCGTCCTCCGTTGCACAGAGCTTGGTGTGCCAATCCTCAGAATGTTGCATTTGGCAACGTTAAATGGGAGAAGCCAGTGGCCTGAACATTGTTCGAGCCGGTCTAAGTTTGCCTGTAGTAAGATGACGGCCGAAATAGCATTTTGGCTAACATGTAGATGTGCTGAACCGGCACAGGGGCCTGATCGATGTCTGCCAGATGTTATTGGAAATAAACAATCATAACAAATATCAAGAATGGGGGAGTGCTGGCATGCCCAGCTGTGGGATCACGCCTAACTATTCACGATCCAGACTGCCCTCCCCTTTTTCTTGCTGCATGTAATCCTGGTGTCTTTACGTTCTGAATCAGGTGATGTGGTAATACACCTAAGTGCGGGTGTTCGTCCTGTCAGCTTCTCTCGCTTCCGTTCTACCAACTAATAGGTGCACATCCAGATTGACGGGCTAATACCGGCATTGCTATTGGTTCTTTTCTCCAAAATCAATGCGAGCACTGCCCGAAGCATTAGGCTGCAGTCCATCACGTTCACCCGACGATGCATCTGAAAGCTTGGACAGCGACTGTCTCCTCTTACTCAAACCGTCTTCAGTCCGCCTGTCAGGCCTGTCAATTACCGCATGCGCGCCTTATGACTCGATATTCGGATGCCCGACACTGACACCGATCGATATTTATACCTTCCCTGATTGGCCGCAGCCGCACAAAGCTCAGGTGCAAACACACACACACACGACAGTTCGACCGTCGATTTCGACGGTGTCCACCGTGTGCCCCACAGCTGCAGCAGCGGTCGGAACAGGGACTGTGACTTACGCAGGGGTTTATAGTGTTAGTAGACTTGCGTAGCATCTACCTACACTCTCTCCTCCTCCCCCGCCTGAGCCCGTCAAGACAGAGTCAAAAAGACCGGAGACGAGGGAGGCCGCAGGTGGATGGCTCGGACGAATCCTCACCTTGGCGTTCAACCACACCCCCTGATCCACACAACAAATAACCAGGATTTCGATCCACACAACAGAGTTTGGAGGCTGGAACGGCCGAAGCCGCACATAGGCGTGCCGGCAACGCCTGACTCAGATCCTACACTGTGGTGAGAGTGCCATACGGCATCATTAAGAAGGAGCCATTGCAGCCTGACTCTCAGACCATCACCAGTCACGGAGGAGGTCCAAGTTACCCCGTCAGTTGGCAACCTTCCAAGCCACGGCTTTTAGCTCGCCGTGATAGCTTCGAGCGCGTCAGATTGTTTATAGTGAGGAAAGTGCGCTGAGTCGTCGACCTCACTCTCCCTTCCCATTCCCACACACCAGCCGCTGTCCGAGCCGGTCAGCAGACTGAAGCGGGGAATGGACGCGGTGGCTGGCATTGTCGACTGACCATGTCTGCGTGCGCCACATGTACGACCTGGTCCCCCAAAAACAAACAGCAGGATTTTGCTCAATAGGGGTTGAACGGCGGATCTCTCACTTGCGTGAGAGGACCGTGGAAGGCGCTGTTATAGCCCTCTTCCAGCTCACCAGTCCGCCACTCCACACAAACACACACAAAACTGGACGGACTGAGTGGACCGAGTGGGACGTCAATCAGCAGCCTTCCTATCCACGACGCCTGACATGTCAAAATAGTCTCGGACTCAAGCCGCCTGTGCTGCAGAGGCCGCACGGGGGCGAGTCGAGATGCACACGTTTCACTCGCATGCGAGGTGGCAGTTGGATGCCTGCGGTGGAAGAGTGTTGATGTGTTGTGAGGTGGTGATTCGGGGAAGGAGGGACTGGTGGCGTAGTGCAGCCGGCGGTTGTCCACCGCAGGTGCTCCGTGGATACGCATGTGGCCGAATAGGCCCATGCAAAGCGTGAAGATTCGAGGGCAGTGTGGGCAGTAAAGGCGAATGCGATGGGTGTAGGTTGGTGCACCAGGCACTGGTTCGCCAGCCTCTGTGCGATGGATTCGCAAGTGACCGATCAGGCTGATGTGTGAGGTGAAGGTGCGGTCGCAGTGAGGGCAGGTGTAGTCCTGGACCCCACCTCTGGAGTCGGAAGTTATAGAGTTGGTGTCGTTTCTTGTCCAGGGTTGCGTGTAGTGTTGATGTGCGTGACAGCCGCCAGCGCGAGCGTCGCTGGGGTAGTGGAGGAGGAGGAGGAGGAGGGGGAGGGTGAGGAGGAGTAGGAGGGGACATACACACACTTCGCGCCGGGCCTAAAAAGCTTAAAGGGCTGGCACACGGTCGGTGAGAACTCTTTCGATCACTGCCTGTTCAGCCGCTCGTACGCTCCGCAGTTTTAGAAAATGTTGTTGAACTTCCCGACAACTGGATTTGTAGATTCTCAATTTTCGAAAAGTGCACCTCGACTTGGCTATCAGATTTTTTTCTCTTGGTAATCCATCTTTCCTCATCAACTTCACCAAGTACTCTGGTACGAGCGTGGTGAGGGCATATTCACTGCTGCAGTTGGTTACACCAGCAAGCAATCCGACGGTCATCGGCGATTTCTTCATACTACTTGATTACTTTATCACGCAATTCACTTTGAATGGAGAAAACCCCGCGAGGCCTTAAGAGTGCGGTCGGTTTATTAGCCTAAAAGTAGCATTTTCAGTCATGCGAACAGACAAGGTTGCACATCCCCTTTTAAACCTCGGGGATGCTAGGCATCAGAAAATGCCGTGGATTCAGAAACACCTCATGCCCTTCTCCCGATTTGGAGTACTGAATTCAACCCTCAGCTTGATGTACATTTCGGAAGGAAAGTGGGGCTAGCGAGCTGGCTTGAGGCCTCATGTGCATATCAGCCGCTAAATTAGGACTCAATGACAGATCGTCAAAAGTCGGCAGCCAGTGAGGATGCTTGCTGTGGACTCCGTTTTACACTTAGACACCTTCGATTGTCGACAGCATAAACAGAACATGTTCCAACTCTGATTGGCTGGGTTTTAACCGCCGGTAAACATCCTTCAACGTGTTGTGCAACACTTAGGACGCAATAACGCCCCTGTATAAATCATTCTGAGCTTAGCTGGGGATATAACCGAGAAGAGGTTACGCCGTGATGACCCAGTGCCTACTGCCTCATCGTAAATGGATCCTCATCTTGGCACTGCTGGGAATAACGAAGATACTTTACGATGTCTACTTCATGAGAGGATGGGCAGATTACGTTGTTGAAATAATGAGAATTCGGGTTTCATCCACAATGTGCAAATTTCGGTGGAGTATTTTCAATGAAATGACACGAGAGGGCGCCTACGACCTGAGCTTTCGCTATTGTCTAGATCCGCACCTTCCAGTTATCAGATACGACACACTTCCACTCTATCTCATCAGCAAGAAGGGCGGATTTCGCAAAATCAGCTTTACAGAAATGGCTAAAATAAATGATGCTGACTGGAAAAGGCCAATTAATCCGGGCGTCTTCCTTCTGTATCCACAAGGTCTTGCGCTACACGGAGTCATTCAGAAATACAAGGAGACCGGACTGGTTCCGGAGGTAAGTGCAGATTCACTATCAAATTTACTTCTTACAAGTTCCCTCGGCGCGTCCACTTGAAGTGGGACCCTGATGAAAAGCCTCTTCTTTCCTGATGTCAGCTTTGGGGGGTTTTACTGTTCTTCCGGCCATGCTCTTAGCACTCAATGGATCAGGGTGTCTATTCTGGCGAAAGGGACGTTCGTCAACCTTAAGCTCTCCAGCCAATCACACAGTCATTAATTTGACAGTGAATCTGCGCTTACCTCTGGAACCAAACCAGTCTCCCGGTAACTCCGAATGACCTCACGCAGAGCAAAACCCTGCGGATACAACAGGAACATCCGGATTAATAGGCCTTTTCCAGTCAGCATCTTCTGTTTGCGCCATCTCTGCAAAGCTGATATTCCGACCTCCACCAGTCTTGCAAATATGATCGAGGGGAACTGTGTCGTATCTGGTCACTGAGAGGTGCGAATCTACAGAGTAACGAAGACTCAGGTCGTAGGTGCCGTCCTGTGTCATTTTACAGATGCCAATCCAGGGACGTTTGCATATTACTGATGAAACTCGAACTTTAATTGTTTCAACAGCGCTTCGCAGCCATTGTCCTTCGATGTGGGCATCGCTCAGTAACTTTAGGATCACCCCTGCGGCCGGGAGAAGGATCCACGTACGGTAGGACAGCGTGCGACGAGCCATCGCGAGGAAGCCCATTCAACTCGATTCGGTGAATCTCAGAATTCAATCCCACGCCCTATAATCGAGGATTTGTACTGAACCGCAAAGTTCACTGAGTGGCGCATCACATACCGAATGCTGTTTGCCAACAGAACAATACCAAGCAATCAGAATTTAAGAAAATATTCTTTGCAGACATTCATTTTATTCTAAAAACAACTTTCGTCAACTGAGCTCACTGGCTTCGGGCTCGACTCTACTTTGTAATTCCGTCCATCACCCACTAAGTACCTGCTTGTCTGCGCTTGAGATGTCTCACTCAGCGACAAAGCCATTAAAATGAGAATTGAACTGGAGGCTGTAATTTATAATTTACGGCATGCTGATGCACATAAGGCCCTCGGAAGCACAAAAGCCTACTGCGACCAAGGTCACACAGAGCCCACATTTACCATGGACTAAAGCCCCTATGTCAGCAACTCGCCCATAATTGCCCGTCCCATTGCCTACCACTTCCCTTACCGACTCTCAATGGATACATTCGATTCAAAGCCGAGTTCATGGAGGTGAAAGTACGAGCAAGGCTTATTGGGGAATGCCAGGACTGAGACGAGGATCCTACTTCCTCCTGGAGAATAATGAGACGGAATCGATCGGTTATCACCTCTAATACTTTAGAAGGATATATCAAAAATAAAATTGAGAGCACCGATAAGAAGGCGGAGGAATTAAGGCGTCATATGTGCCAACGAGCGGTAATAGCTAACCAGCTCGATGAGGAAGAGGGACTGGATTTCAAGACGTATGCCTAGTCCATAGCGGAAAAACGTGGGCCAATGGAGATTGCTTCTGATTTGCGGAGTGTACACGAAGGCAGACCACAATAGAAGATTCCTGAAGACCCAAATCAGTACGTAGACAGTTATTCGTCTGTATATACATCTCTCTCGATAAAACCTCGAGGGAAATTTTATCACCTGTTCCTAATTTTTCCGTCCCCACCAGTAACCCTGCCAGCTAAAACTAAAGACACAATTCCAGAATCTCATAATTTCCCCTCCCCCCATTCAAAGTGCTGCCTCAAATTACACCAATTTCTTTTTTATGTAGTAATTCTAAACTTATCTGTTGACCCTTCTATTTGCGTAGCAGTGGGTTTCCGCAAATAAGAATGAGTTGGGTTGCAAGGTAAACACACAAAAGCAGTCGAAGTGTTTGCTTGCGTAGTTAATACAGTCAGTAACTAGGGAATTTGAGGAGGCCAGGTCGAAAACCAGGAATGGTCGTGTGTTAGTTCAAGCATTCGAGTCCATCCCCGAGTCCATCATTGGTCTGCAAGACAGGCAGCTATACAATCATGCTCGTTTGTGGAAAATGGATTAGTAGACACACCCCCTATCAATATCCGCCTTCATCCTGGCAGCGTGCACCATGCATGCGCCCGTCACGTTGTCTGTGAATCCCTCTGTACGTGGGAGAGCTTATGACAACAGCTGATATTTCGGATTCCTGCTCGAACTCATCATCAGAAACAAAAGCAGTACGGGTGTTTCATATACAAGGGGCTGCAGTATTTATAGGATGCAGTCGCATACCTATGAAACCTCACGACTTCCCCCCTCTTCCGGGATCGTCGTGCTTGTTGTGCTAATTTTTTGATGGCTGACATTCGTGACTAGAATTGCTGCAATCTCATCACGTGCGTTGTATGTTGGTTTTATGATTGCCCGACCATCTGATCCACCGACACTGGAGTTGAGAAAAGTGTTGACTTGTGCGCCCCTCGAGTGGCCAATTGCTCCGCCTAGGTGAAGTGTCAACACCGAGTATGGAAAGGGAAGTTTATTACACTTGTAAATGGACTGGTAGTCGGTAAACCATGACTCGGGCAGCTCCCGGCTCACGCGGTTGTAAACCCTTGCGAGAATTTCGGCCTCGTCAAATTTGAATAAGTTGCCGATTTCGGTTAGTCCTTTCGTCCCTTTTGCGTATGCACTGATCGAGAAAGTTGCGCGGGTAGCCATTGGGGTTGAAGACTCGTTGGAGGTACTGTAGTTCGGAAATCTTGTCTTCCGGCGCTCACTGCAGTGCCTTTCTACACGCTGATAGGCTGTTTGGGTTGCTGCTGTTGAATTTTAGTACTTGCATAGTATTTGTCGCCATACTGAATAATTTCGTCTTTAGCCCCCCACGACCTGTGTGGCATACGAGTACAACCAGGAAGGCCAGCTGATTGTTCTCTTCCTCCTCCATCGGAAATTAAATATCCGGGAAGACGTCGCCGAGATGTTCTTTAAATGACAGCATCTGATCCCGCTCGATGACGACGAAGGTATCATCCATATACCGGCTCCAGAACTTCGGTCTGTGGTGTTGGAAGACCAGCGACTCTAAACGTTGCAGGATCGCCTCGGCGATGAATCCCAAATTCAGCGAACCCATTGGCGTGCCCTGCACCTGTTTGTAGATTGTCCGTCGAACGGGAAGTACGTCCTGAGACAGAACTTCAGGAGCAGAAGGACTTGGGCGTGTCTAAGACAATTCTGCGTTTCATCGTTTTGGCTTTGTAGAAGCAGTCCGATTGTATTGATCTCCAGGTCTTGGGGAATAGAAGTAAAAATGGATTAAACATCAAAATATGCCATGACCTCATTTGGATGGATGCTTACCCCTTTGAGTTTCTCCAGGAATTCTACTGGCGAAAAGGCTGTGGTGTCTGACTCAGCGGTCAGGAACTTGAGACGCCGGAACAGCCACTTAGCTAGTCCGTACGTTTGAGTCCCTTTGAGCGACACGATGTTTCAGAGAGAGGCGCCGTCTTTTTGCACGCTGGGAGGCCCGAGAATCAGGCCAAAGTCGTATCTTGGGGTTTCGCCATGCGTCTCTCTGTCAGTGTTATTGCACCTGAGTTCTCCAAGGCCAACAACGTGACGTTTCTTTCACGCGTCAGCGCTTTTATCGGGTTCGATACGCATGGAACATAGAATTGTCGGTCCTCCAGTAAACCTTTGGCTTTTTGAAGGTAGTCTGTCCTGTCCAGTACAGCTGTGGAACGCCACTTGTCCGCTGGTATGATGACCAGGTCTTTGTTGGTCTTGAGTTTTCTAAGCGCATTACGTGCGACCTTGAAAAGCATATCCTGCGGCCTGTGGACCATCAGGAGAGACGACACCTGGTGTCGGATGAGGCTCTTAATCTCCTCCGTTGCCTCCGTCTGACTCAGGATTGGTTCCACTGCTGCATCATGTTAACATTTTTGGGCAGGATGGTAGTTGGTAGCCCTGTCCACTGATTCTACAGTTGTACCTACTGACTCGATTTGGGTATCTGTGATAACGCGCTCATCATGTCTGGGGGTGCACGCACAGAGGCCTTGTTAGGATGACATTCTTCTTCACTTTAACCGCCCCGAGAACGAGGCGCTCCAAGACTGTCTATATAGACTCATTGTATTGCACCCCCACGCGGAAATCTTTAGTAAAAAGCAAAAGATTTATCTTAAACGGATTATGATTCATCATGATTCCCATTATGCTTCTAGTTGCATGTGCGCACAGTATTACCTGCATCAGATTAACTGCATAGGTACTATCCTAGGCGGATTGGTGCGGGTCTCCGTTTCGTAGGTTTGCCTGCATCCTCGGGTCTTTTTACTCCAGTCATCCAGTAGAGTCCGGTGCGATCTTGTACGAAATGATAACCGACGCTCAGCTAGGGTGTCTACCGATACTCCGTCCACTGCGTCAGTCGTATTGCCAGAGTGTTGCCCTTCACCCCCCGCCTTTACGAACAGCCCGGTTGAATTTAATATCAGGGGTTTGCCTGAAAACTGTGACGCCTTGTAAACACCGCCATGGCCAGTTAACGATCCTTTCCTGCACTTCCAGTTTAAGGCACTATGGCAACCCCCCGGGCACTTCGACATTGCTGGGTTTGAACTGGGCGCACTTTACCTACCACATCGCGCACTTACTACCTCTTGGGTTCAGACTAAAACAGCAAGGCGTGTCATACGTCAGTCAGACCCGAAATTTTTACTATCCTCGCATTTTTCACCTTATTTAAATTAGGTTTCCACTTTATCAGGATCGTCAGTTCCAGGCATTCCCTACAAGCGCAATTTACGCCTCCACTCGTTTGCCCCACCCGTATAGCACCTATTACGACCGGTCCCGTAAGTCAGGTAGCTGGGAGTTTTCGGTACCGGGAGGGTTAACTACTATCATCTAACCCATTTTTGCGTCAGCCGTGCAAAATGAAGCTTAATGCTGTAAAACCAGCATCTGATCCTTCGTCAGCTCCTTCAACGACAGGTTGCTCGCCAGTTCGTCGTTTCTGGGCGACGTTGGATTGGGCAGATTTCGGAATTTGTTCTCCAGTGCTGCGTCACGTATCAAGCTCTGTTCGCGGGCTTGTTCAGTCACCCTCTGCGGGACCCGATTTGTACAGATCTCGCCCATGAACTTACAAAATCTTGTCTTTTCTTGGTCAATCCTTTGACGGTACTCGTGAAATGTCGCGTGGTAATCTTGGAGGATCACTCAGATCATTCTTCTGCCGTGCTGAAATACTGCTTGTCTCGCCAAATCCGTGTTAACCGGGGCATGCATGAAACACATTTCTGTAAAAAATCATTGTTGAGACACCTGTACAGAAACCGGACTTGCGCATACGTGAAGGTCGATGATTTCGATCAACAGGCCGATTAGAGCGCATCGTGCCCAAATAAATTGCGAATAGAAGCGAAGAGACGAGTTTGAGGAAGTATTCATGAAGAAGGAGACACCCAGTCTCCCATGTTGCCTCCGACTGAGGAGAAGAAGAAGAAGAAGAAGATGATGATGATGATGATGATGGTGGTGATGATGATGATGATGATGATGATGACGACGATGATGATGATGATGATGATGGTGGTGATGATGATGATGATGATGATGATGATGATGATGATGATGATGATGATGATGATGATGATGATGATGATGATGATGATGATGATGATGATGATGATGATGATGATGATGATGATAGGCAGAATAGCATTACCGACAAAGACAAGGGAGACTGGAATGGCCATTTCTGGCTTATTAGCCGTCGTCAGCCAGCCATACCCAAGCCAGAAGTGTGAACACCCGAGCCTCGAAATCGCGACCTGTTGGTTTAGAAGTCAAAGCCTCTACTCACCGGGCCACGAGCCCGTTGCCTTGTCGGTTTTCGATCGGGAATATACAGTGGTAGGGGGCGCTGGCTGGCGACGACGGCTAATAAGCCAGAAATGGCCATTCCAGTCTCCCTTGTCTTTGTCGGTAATGTTATTCTGCCTATGTATCATGCGCCGCTGTGCGGCTGCTGGTTGGGCTCGAGAGAGAGCTCTTAAGGCACAACGGAACGAGTGAGTTCCGTATGAACGATCGGTGAGCGCCCCCTACCACTATATATGTATATATCAGCAAGGAAGGATGACAAAGATGACTGTAGGTAAGCTAACTCATGAAACGTCAAATAAAATTATATATATAATACTATTCTGCATATATATATATATGCAGAATGGTATTACCGACAAAGCCAAGGGAGATTGTTCAGGGCACTTTTTACGGACCCTCAAACTCGCGGAGAAGGCAGGGCTGTTTTATCGCTCTTCACTATGAGTCAGAGGCTTTAGTGAGAGAATGAACATTGACCTGCGCCACCTACATGATTATACATCGCCCTTGCCGTAGGAATTTCGGTCGTGGGGTGAGACAGTAGAGTGGAGTAGACAGTAGAGATTGTAAAGTGCGAAGGAGAAGGACGGAGAATAGGAACAAAGGAGTAGGTAGGGACACATCTTCTAGCCGCTTACCGAATGTTGAAATTAGAGGGTGAGCATCCATAGACAACCAAGCCTAACCTTGTGGCCTCCTGCGCGGTTGCTTACTGAAACTCATTTGGGAGATCACTGTGCGACGGGGTCAGCATTGGTGGGAAGGGGCAGCATAATTACCGTGTGTGGGGATGCACACACGGATAACCTCAACTGCTTTTGCTCGACGCTCGAGGCGGTTACCGGGGTGGGGCTATTAGACAGAGCCCATATAGTGATAGTAGACTTGCGCTGCATCCACCGCACTCTCTCCTCCTGCCCCGCATGGTCCCGGTGCCAAAACAGAGACAAGAAGACCGACTGTGAGAGGAAGGCAAGTGGTTGGCGCGGCCGAGCTCGCGCCTTGGCGATTCATTCCAAACTATTATAATTTTTGGTAAAATGTGCTTTGGTAGCCCTACTTGATGGACACAATACTGTTGGGGTTTGGGTTAAAAGTTATGGTTAGGGATTACCATTAGGGGTTAGAGGCTGTTATTAGGGGTTAGGTTTTATGATTGGGGGTTATAGTTAGGGGGTGGAGTTAGGGTTAGGGGTTAGCGCCACTATTTTTAACCATTCAAAGGACAACTACACATTCTCAAAAGCTTTTATTTTGCATGCAATTACTTGACCTCGTCGCCTGTGGGTTCCCCGGTCCCTCATGTTGAAACTCTTATTACCACCGGTTCCGTAATGGAGGCCGATGTCAGTTGGTTAACTTAGATGCTCTCCTCTGTTAGCTGACTGGGTGGTGTATCAGGCCGCAATATTCATGGCTTGTGCTTCTAACAAGCGAGTGTAGAATGCATAGGCATTGGAAAAAATGAAATGTTGCAATTTCTGAAGCGGTTGTTCGTCCAGTTAACGACCGATGTTGCCGTTACACAGACCCAAAAACGATGTTTTGGACAAGACGAACTTCGTAGCTCAGGTAGTTAAAGTCTCGCCCGTGTTGCCGTGAATTTCAAGTCACACAGAAACTATCGATTATTCTGGAGGTAGTCAAATGGATTATTCAAATCTGTCAAAACACCTGTTGAAACATGTAAAAAACCCTATAACCATATGTCTCATTTTACAGGAGGCTGGGGTTTCTTTATTTCAGGTGGGCTACATAACCACAACCGACCGAATTTTTTATAGACCATTAAAAGCTCATTCACACAGTATCGCATCAGCACTTCATTAACACTACAACCTGGTTCACATGCATTGTACAATTTTATAATTGCTATTGGACATCCTCCTGGGAGCGTAAATGTATGAGTGATACTACTTTGTCGGAATGTATGCAGCATGATGTTTGGAAACCCTGGATACTAGAGCATCAACAGGTGGGACAAAAACGGTTTCGGAATTGCAAATGTCTTAAAAGTCAATATATTCTCGACTTGACTATCAGAATATGCATCTTGGAGTTCCATCCATTCTCTTCAACTTCACCAGGTACTCTGTCATAAACCTGGCGAGGGCAAATTAACTGCTGCAGTTCATTACACGAGCAGCCGATCCGACGGTAATCGAGGATTCCTTTATATTACTTACGCACTTTAAAACGCATTTTACTTTGAATGGGGAAGATACCATGAGGCTGTAAGAGTGCGGTCGGCTTATTAGCCCAAAAGTAACCCTTTCTGCCATGCAAACAGACGAATTTGAAAATCCCCGCATCAGCTTGGTGGACAAAAGACATCAGGAGATGTTGTGGATTCAGAAACACCTCATGCCCTGCCCCCGATGTGGAATATTGGATGCAACCCTCATCCTTATTTTTATTTCGGATGTTAGGCGGGGCTAGAGAGTTGGCCTGATGTCTAATGTACATATCAGCAGCTAAATTAGGACTCAACGAAAGATCGTCAAAATGGGACTTAAGTCGGTAGTCAGTGGGAATACTGGCCATGAACTTCTGTTTGCACTAAGACGCGCTGCATATACAGAACTTGTTTCAACCGTGATTGGCTGGGTTTTAACTGCCGGTAGGCATCCTTCAACATGTTTTGTAACACTTAGGACCCAATAACGCCCCAGTATAAGTCATCACGTGGAAGAGGTGGATTCCACTTTTTGAACTTGGCTGAGAAAAAACAAGAAGAGGCTACACCGTGATGACTGGATGCGTGCGGTCTCATCGTACGTGGATCCTCATTTTAGCCTTACTGGCAATAATAAAGATATTCTGTGATGTTTTCTTCACAAGCGAATGGGCGTCAAACGCTGTCAAAACGATGAAAATTCGAGTTTCATCAGTAATATGCAATGATCGTTGGATTAGTATCAGCGAAATGACACGGGATGGCACCTACGACCTGAGTCTCCGTTACTGCGTAGAACCGCACCTTCCCGTAACCAGACACGACTCAATTTCACTCCGTCTCATCAGCAAGAAGGGCGGATTTCGTAAAATCAGCTTTGCAGAGATGGCCCAAATAAACGATACTGACTGGAAAAGGCCAATTAATCCGGGCGTGTTCCTGTTGTATCCGCAGGGTTTTGCTCTGCGTGAAATCCTACGGAATTACCGGGAGACTGGCTTGGTTCCTGAGGTAAGTACAGATTCACTTTCAAATTGACCCCCTCGAAGTCTAATCGGCGTGTCCCCTTGAATTGAGACCCTGATTGATAGCCACTTCTTTCCTGACGTCAGAATTTGGGGGGTTTATATGCTTACGGCCATGATCTTAGCACTGAATCGATCAAGGTGGCCGTTCTGGCGAAAGAGACTTTCGTCAACCTAAAGCCCTCTCCTTATCAATGATATCAGCCTAGCAGATCCTTCTCACCCTTTCTGCCAAACATCAGACTAAACCACGTTTCAAATGTAGCGAAAGGAAACTCCCAAAAGTGGTCGTCCTCTTACGGCAGAAGCTACGTCGAATACTGCCGTCAGGCCTTCTACACAGAAGTACGTATAGAAAGAGAAGCGAACGGGGTTGTTCTTCATCCAGCGTGAAGTTGATTGGTGTAGGAGCCTGATTGATATCATCTAGTAAAATAGTTGCGAAAATTCCCATAATAGTAATCAGGAGAAGAGATGGCGAGCATACGTAGCTTTCAATAAATTCTCCACAGGCCAGTGCAGTTATATAGGAACGGGGTGGAATTAAAACATGTCAGCGATAAAAGAAATCGATAAAAGTTCGCCTTTAAACATAGAGGAGGTGTGGAAATGTTGGGGAGGGGGGGGGGTAATAGCAGTCAGTGTCAGGGGCGGGGTGAGAGCGGAAGGGTGCGGAGAGTTGCAGCGTTAGTCGACCTTCGACCACTGTTAGCGCGGAGCCTGAACGTGGTTCTTCTGGACGCATAAGATTGGCTTTCGTAACCTAATGGCGGCCGCTTCTGCTGTCGCTAACATGCTCTGGCATAGTGGCTTGATGGGACCTTATAACTCACACGAAAAGCTTACTTGGGTTCCACACGATGGCCGGCGTCGACAACATGCGCGAGAATGGCGCTGCTTGTGCTCCTCGTTTCGCCCTTTCCCAGCCATGCGGGGAGGTGTTCCCGTAGTCTCTTGGATAAGCACCGACTCGTGCGACCAATATAACCTGCTCCACAGGAACAAGTCAAGGAATAGATGCAAATTGAGTTGGTCTGCGGTGGCAATTTATTCTTACCTTCTCCGTGTAAAAGAGGGTTAGTAGAGAATGATATTTGAACCCTTTCTGCTGGGAAGGTTCACGAGACAGTTTGATCAAGGCGTCTCCTAAGGAGTTCACTCGCAGCGTCCCCTTGGAAAGGGACTTTGAGGAACAAAGTTTTCTTTTCGGTGGTTGGTGTGGCGGGTTTGACCGGTTTTTCGGCAATGTTCTTTGCAATAAGCCAGTCAGGATACCCGTGTACGGGAAGGAAGTCCGGGATTTTTTTGAGCTACCCTTCGATGCTATCTGTTGAACAAATTTTTTCAGCTCTTTGTGCCAAACATCGGACTAGATTTCGTTTTTGTTGGAGGGGCACGAAACTGGCGAAGTTCGTGTATTGTCCAGACCAGCATTTCTTCCCCCGCATTCCCATACCCCATCTGTGTTTTAATGAGAACTTTTATCGATTTCTCTTATCGCTGACATGTTTTACTTCTAATCCGTTCCCATATAACTGTACTGGCCCGACGAGAATTTATCAAAGGCTACGTATGCTCGCCACCTCGTCATCTAATAAAACTGAGACGTCGTTTTGTTCCTGCGCGATCGCGAATATATCATCTACGTATCACCAATAGTATCTAAAACCGTTGATTAGATATAAAGCTGAAAAGCTTTTGGCTTTCCCATGAATATATGCGCCATAATCGTGCCAAGCGGGTGAGCCCGTATCTACACTGTCCACCTGTCTATACATATTGTTCTCAAATAGGAATTGCAAGTTCAAGTCACGCCCCAATACCAATTTCTTGAGGGCACCCACCAGCATTCCTATATCCTGCTGATTAGAGGCAATGAAATCACAGAGGTAGTTGAGCATTTCTGTGACTGGTACGTTCATAAAAAGTAACGAGACATCTAACGAAAACACAACACTTCCGGTTAGGTCGAGGTAGTTCACGCCGTTAACGAATTCAAAGTCATCCCGGCAGCCGTGTGGCGTTAACCCATACTGTCGAGACCTGAATTTCTCCGCTAGCCATTCTGCTATCGCATGACACTTCAGGTTCCTCATATCGAGGATCGGACGAGCCGCTGTGTTATCATCGTGGATCGCCAGCAATTTGTATAACCCAGGTATAGGCCTGAGGACCGGTCGGGGATGCTCTAATTCGTGTTCTCGTAGGAAACCATTCGTTTGAATTCAGTCAGCTGTGCCTTGACCTCGTTTGTTCGATGCTTCTCCTTTTCTGCCTTTCGGAACTTTTCCTGGTCCGACAGGATTCACTGTATTTATGCGATTTCGTCAGTAAGCCTCCGCATTTCTGGCTACTGCTCAGGTATTGATGGGGGCTGATGACTAACTCGGACTATAGGTGTTCCCCGCTCTCTGTCGAAACCAGCTGAAGGCCATGATTTTGATTTATGAGATTGTCGAACTGTGTCTTAGTTCTAGCTGGCAGGGTTACTGGTGGGGACGGCATAAATTAGGAACAGGTGATAAAATTTCCATCGAGGTTTTATTGAGAGAGAGATATATATACAGACGAATAATTGTGTACGTACTGATTTGAGTCTTCAGGAATCTTCCATTGTTACCTGCCTTCGTGTACACTCCGCAAATCTGAGGCAATCTCCATTTGTCCACGTGTTGCCACCATGGACTAAGCATACTTCCCGAATCCCTGTCTCTCTTCCTCATCCAGTTGGTTGGGTACTACCGCTCGTCGGCACATATGACGCCTTGTTCCTACGCCTTTATATGGGTGCTCTCAAGCTCATTTTTGATATATCCTTCTAAAGGATCAGAGGTGACAACCGAGCGATTCCGTCTCATTATTCTCCAGTAGGAAGTAGGATACCCTTCGCAGTCGAGGCATTTCCCCAATAATCCTTGCTCGTACTTTCACCGCCAAAGCCTTGGTTTTGAATTGAAGGTATCCATTGAGAGTAGGTGAGGGAAATGGTAGGCAATGGGACTGGAAATTATAGGCGAGTTGCTGACATTGTGGCTTTAGTCCATGGTAACTATGGGGTCTCTGTGAAGTTTTTCCTTGTTCATAGGACTGGTGTGCGTAACCTGATTGCAGCCGCCTCTGCCGTTGCCACCAGACGCTGTCCAAGTGATTTTTGATGGCTCGAGGGAACCTTGTCCTAGAAAACATCAAAAGACCATTTGGTGAGCATATATCTGCTCCAGATTAATTCTCTTCAAACCTATGCATTTATATTGATATTGAAATAATAAATGAAAGAGGGATGCGGGCAAATGGATGATTATGCTGTAGCTCGGGTTTGAGTGAGGAGGCAAGTGAATCACCAAAAATGCACTAAGCGTCAGGCGGGGCATGATGCACATCAGGAAAGGCAATTATATGCGGGTTGGTGGCTTGACGGCTTTGGTCATGGAAACTGTGGAAACTGCATGAACTAGCTCTGTGCACACACGTCAGGTTCGTGCAGTATAACTGCAGTGGCCCTTAAGGCAGCCAACAGATACAGCCCAAGTATGTTTGGGTGGCCTAGTGAAACCTTGCTAATAACTCAGGGGGCTTCATTGTTCTGAGGAGAATTTGTCGAATACAGCCGTGTACTGGCAAATTTGTCTTTTAAATTCTAACAATTGACGATTTCAAAATTCCGTGGACTAGCCAATGGCGGAAGCACCAGTGATGAACTAGGGATTTGTTGGTCGCAGTAGACTTTTGTGCTTCCGAGGGTCTGCATCGCACTCCGAAGGAGAAAATATGGTATATTCCCAGAGTGACAGACGCAGACCAGTTAGCGTGATTTGAGCATTCTACCAGGATCAAGGCGGATATTGCTAGGAGGCGTGTCTGAGAATCCATTTTCCACACACGAGCATGTTTGTCTAATTGCCTGTCTTGCAAACCGATGATGGACTCAGGTGATGGACACGAATGCTTGAACTAGCACACGACCAATTTCTGCTGTCCTACCTATCCTCTTCAAGTTCGATAGTTTCTGACTGTAGTAATTACGCAAACAAACACTCCTTACAAGCCAGCTCATTCTTATTTGCGGAAACCCACTGCGACTAAAATAGTAGGGTCGACTGAGAAGTTTAAAATGACTACATAAAAAACAAATTGGTGTAATTTGAGGCAGTATTTTGAAAGGGGGGAGGGGGAAAATTCACACAAGAGGTTCTGTTTTGTGTTCATCTGCAAGCCATAACTTAGACCGATGGGGATTACGAATGATAGCCTCCAGTTCAGTGCTCATTTTAAGTGTGTGATGCATCTTCAGAGACAGATTGTAGTAGGTGTCCTCGAAGTCGCTCACGATGAGATCATCCTGTTCACGCATCTCCTGCTCCAGTCGCATTTGAATCTGGGCGCGGCGGTTTCCAATGTTGACGAGCGAGTTGCCGGCGCGACCGGGCAGCGAGATGTTAAAACCTTCACGTTGGAAGGAATTGTCGTTTAGACTTGTGGGCAGACGCACCACGAACACTACTCCTATGCGATAAGGTAGTTTAGCGCTGCTCTCCCTTCTCAGATGGGCGTAGAATCTACTAAAGTTTTGTCTGTCGTCGAAGTTGTAGACGGCTGATTTCACAATGACTACGAGGTCGTGATTGTGCTTGCGGTCAGCAGCCTTAATTCCCTCCGGTGGACAAACCGAAGTGCTCACCTTGAGAAACCGCATGCTGGGGCCGTTGATGGGAGGCTGCAAACGTACAAGAAGATTCTGAATGAACTAAAAAGAATTTTGTCGCAGAGACAAGACAAAGGTTACTCCTAGTGAATTGTGCTTGGTGGTTTTATTTAAAAAAAATGAAGCGTACTGACGAGGCTGGGAATGCTCTTTGTAAGATGTCTAATCCCGGCGCCGTTAAAATTACAAGAAAAATCCTTAAATGCCCAAAATATCTGTCAGTTATCCAGGGACTTCGTCTCGCTAATTGCATTTCCAACGTTTAGAGGCTCAACCAGCCTACTTTCCTGGCACATATGCATATATTTGGCACAGATTCTTAAATACCAGTATTTACCAGAATCCTGAATTCAGTAATCAGCGGTTGACCATCTCCTCACCTCGGGTTTGCCATAAGATTTTCTCTAGGCGTTTGTCAGCTGCTGACTAAGCTGTGTACACCGAAATTAGGGAATTAAATTCTACCACTGTTTTGCGCTGTAAACAACAAAGGGGAATTGCTCCGGCATACAAAACAACGAAATTCATCAATACCAATCTGCACGGCAATAACGCATGACATGGGAGCAGTTAGATCTTGACAAGCAGTAGCACCATCTTCTCCAACTGACTGTGACGTGAGGGTTAGTAGTGCGCCAGAGTGCTGTGAATAGCGTATCTCGCTGATTGGACTAAACTGGGAGGAATCGTGATAAGTGCTCACGTGCAGGCGATCGATATGCGCTCTGCATCGAAGGCTAAGCGAGAGAGAGAGAGAGAGAAAGAGGTGATCCCTACCAGACAAAAATGATAAAACCTGGTGTCTAGAGAGAACTTGTGGGATACATACGACAGCAGAGCATCTGTTGGTGCGAAAAATCAAACAAGGCCACAGACCGACACTGAAGAACGAAGGACATCCATGTTGACTAATCTGCGTGTCAGGGTACGGGCACGGATTGGTTACGCTGTTCTGGTTCCAAGTGTAAACACAATGTGCGCATTGCAAGTAAAGTTAGTCGATGGGGAAAATGCTGAAATCGTGGGTGTATAAGTTGCCAAATGTAGAACGCAAAAGCGCAAGCTTATGTTTTGGTTTAAATGTAGGGTTAATTTTAGGCTTTGGGTTTATGTCGGGCTGGGAATTGAGTTTAGGATTAAGTTTTGTATTACGTTTAAGAGTTTCAGTTAGAGTTGGGGTTTGGACTGCGTTCTAGGTTGGCGTTTGGTGTGAAGGTTGGGGCTAGGGTTGGTGTTAGGGTTAGGCCCGTGTTAGGATTAAGGCTTATTTTGTGTTAAGAGCTAGGGCTAGGGTAAAGGGTATGCGGTAGATGATGTGAATGTCCGCTATCCCAATGAACTGATTCATGCACAAACCGCCTTCCTTCAAAACCGGTATTATTAAAATGCTGAGACGCATATTTTGCCAATTTTCATTGACCGCATTACGTGATTGGGAGCATTGCGCTTCTCGTACATACTATCGAAATTTCCCCCCCCCCCCACGTTTTTGATTCGGGTGGAGATCCATCATCAGCCATCATCCACCAATTGCGAGCAATGCCAATGACTGGCACCACCAATACGGACTGTGTGGACCCGCCACACACACACACACGACCTGCTGACCCCTATATGTGCCGTGCTTTCACGAGGTTTGGTCGGATAGCGCATTCGCAAGAATGCCGTAGAGAC